AAGGAACCCAGTAGGAACTAACCTAAGTATCCTGGCTGAACAGATTGGGCTTTTTTTTAAATCAAGGTTTGCTTTGTCACTCATTTATACATTACTAGAGGACTGGTGCATGAATTCGTGCATGGGTGGGGTCCCTTGGCCTGGCTGGTGATCGAGGCCCATCAGGGGGGCCGGCTGGATCAGAGCCTATGGGGAGGCCCCACCGGCAGGGGGAGGGACCACGGGAGGTTGGCTGGTGCGGGGAGAGGGGGAAGAGTGCGGGGGCGGTGGGGAGGTTGGCTGTGGGAGGGCACTGACCATCAAGGGGCAGCTCCTACATTGAGCATCTGCCCCCTGGTGGTCAGTGCATATCATAGTGACTGGTCATTCCGGTCGCTTAGGCTTTTATATATACAGATGAATTTCATTGTAAGTACAAGTAATGGTCTCATTTTCAGGTACAGTACTTACTGAGATCAATGAGTTCTCAGGAGAGTAGTAGTTGTCCATGACTAAGTACACACTTTAGAAAGTGCAATGTGGATTTGGTTGAACTTCTGTCCCTGGGACTTTTTCTCTGGATATCAAAAAGGCTAAACAGAAAGAAAACGACTTCTTTTGAAGGTGAGAAGCAAATGTGTATCAGAAGGACTAGAGCGGTATGGGGTGTGAAGACAGCGGTCACAGCCTCCCTGGCTGAGTCAAGACCCACAATTATCTTCCCCAGTGATGCCAGCCTGTCGACTGTCACAGCCACCACTCTGTCCACAGTCATCTCTTCCTTCACTGTGCCCCACCCCCCTTCACCTTAGTGGCTTCATTTCAGTCTTGTGGTCCATTTGATCTCACCAACATTTTATTACTTCTAAAGTTTCTTAGAGTTTTTTTTCCAAAGGTTCAGCCATTTTTAAGTTTCTTAAAACTGTAAACACTATTTTAAGTAACTAAATGCTCAAAAAACACATCCAGCTTTTAAATTAAATAAATAGAAGCTCAAGCCCTAACCGGTTTGGCTCAGTGGATAGAGCGTCAGCCTGTGGACTGAAGGGTCCCAGGTTCGATTCAAGTCAAGAGCATGTACCTTGGTTGCAGGCACATCCTCAGTAGGGGGTGTGCAGGAGGCAGCTGATCAATGTTTCTCTCTCATCGATGTTTCTAACTCTCTATCCCTCTCCCTTCCTCTCTGTAAAAAATCAATAAAATATATTAAAAATAAATTAATAAAAAATAAATAAATAGAAGCTCAAAACACATCCTATTCTTTATTTTACTTCTCAATAATGGTTGACATTTAATATTTTTATATTAGTTTTATATGTATAGCATAGTGGCTAGATAAATCATGTAATTTACAAAGTAATCCCCTCAATATTTTAAGTACCTACCTTGCACCATACATAGTTACTAGAATAATGGTGCATCACATGAATTGATTTGCAGATATTGAACCAACCTTGCATGTCAGGAATAAATCCCATTTGATTATGGTGTCTGATCTTTTTAATTTATTGCTGAATTCAGTTTGCTAATATTTTATTGAGGATTTTAGCATCTATGTCCATCAGGGATATTGGCCTATAATTTTCTTTCTTTGTAGTGTCTTCATCTGGTTTTGGAATCAAGATAATACTGGCCTCATAAAAATGAGCTTGGGAGTCTTCTCTCCTCTTGAATTTTTGGAATAATTTGAGAAGGATAGGTGTTAGTTCTTCTTTGAATGTTTGATAAAATTCATCTGTGAAAGCTTCTTCCAGGACTTTTGTTTGTTGGGACTTTTTTTTTATTACTGCTTTGATTTTTGTTGGTTGTAATTAGTCTGTTCAGATTTTGTTTCTTTTTTATTCAGTCTTGGATTATTGTATATTTCTAGGAATTTATCCATTTCTTTCAGATTGTCCAATTAGTTGGCATATAATTGTTAGTAGTATTTTCTTATAATCGTTTGTATTTCTGTAGTATCAGTTGTCACTTCTCTTCCATTTCTGATTTTAGCTATTTGGATCCTCTCACTTTTTTTATTGATGAGTCTGGTTAAAGATTTATCAGCCTTGTTTATCTTTTCAAGGAATCATCTCTTGGTTTCATTGATCTTTGTTATTGTTTTTTTTTACTCTATTTCAACTGTTTCTATTCTTAAGAACTACCTTTATGTATTATATTAAAATATAAATGAATCACACATATAATAATATTGGTACATGTTGCAGAAATTCTAAGCTATATTGTAATTCAAATGTTTTAGAATGTTATTTTTAGATTACATCTATTTAGATTTATGCACTTTTAAATATGTAACCTTTCTAAATTATATAAATAATCCTCAAAAATTCATATAATTCTTAAAAAGTCACCATATACCTATTATCTGCCAATACAGACACAAACTAGAACATACAGTATGATTTCAGTATTTGAAGTTCAAAGACCAGGCAAAACTCATCCTTGGCATCTGAAGTATGATAATGGTTGCCATTGGCAGGAGAAAAGTGACTAGGAAAGAAACATTGATGTGAGAGAGACACATCAATTGGTTGCCTCCCACACACATCCTGACCCAGGGGGCCAGGAATCAAACCTGCAACCCAGATACGTGCCTTTGACTGGAATTGAACCTGCCGCCCTCAGTCCAAGGGCCGATGCTCTATCCACTGAGCCAAACCGACTAGAGCTTTTTTTTTTTTTTTTTTTTTTTTAAACATTCTTGAATGCTTAGAATGTTCCAAGCACTGTGAACAAGTCAGGTGAAATCCCTGCATATATTCTAGAATAAGGTAAACGTGTAAAATGCTGAGCACCAAGCCTAGCACAGAAAAGCACCTCATAAGCATGAGCTGGTATAATTCCCTTTAGAGGGGAGTGGGGTCAGGGGCGGGGGTGGGGGGAACCAGATGGTGCAGGCAGACTGAAATGGACAGAAGGACACGATAGGCGAGGGAACCGTGGGAAATGAGGCTGCAGGGTGGAGCAGGGGCAGACAAGGTAGGACCCTGGGAAGAACCTATGTGAAAGGAACCGAAATGTCTCCTAAAAGCCCCAAGACACCAGCGGACGGTTTTAACCGGAAAATACATGGTCAGACAGGTCTACTTCCTTCTGACCCTTCCGCAGTTCACCCTTGGTTCTCCAGAGTTCCAGCCTGAAGCACACCTGCATATATTTCAGGCCTGGGGGCAGTGGGATTCTACTCTGGTTCCATTGAGGGGACCAGGAAGTGCCCCCAGGCCCCTTGTCCCTGGAGGCACCCGCCCAGCAGCGAGTCTCTTCCATACATTTCATCACTGCGTGTCCCCAGGGCTCGCTCCCAGGGTGCTTCCCAATCATGCAGCGCCACCTTTGCTTGTTAGGTGGGGAAGGGACCTCAGAGAGTCCTGCCCTCATTTTGTATCTGGGAGAAGAGACCAGACAGGTCCTCCGGGTCACAAAGCCAGCGAGTAGGAAAATGGGAGCCTGAGGCCTGCTCTCGGGGCCCACCTCTCTCCCGCCTCCACCCGGTTGCAGCTGGAGAATTTCTATTGTATAGAGAAGGGGTTTGGGGAACAGTTTAGCTGGGGACAGAGGGAGCTTGGAGCTGCTTTTGCATATAGTCGTCTTATTTGAAATTGAGGAAACTTCTGCGTCTACATCAAAGACTGCAGGGCTGAAGGAGAATGGGGAGGGTGGGGGACGTGAAATCCCTCCCAAACTGCACTTCTGTGTCCCACCCCGAGGCAGACAGAATCCCTTTTCACTTCTAAAGAGCACAGAACCTTTGTCCTCAGTTAAATATTGAAGGGACATGAGGAGCCAAGGCTAGAGAGTGAAGCGGGAGGTAGGGAGGGCCTGGACAGGATGGATTACGCAATGGCCCTGGTGCTCCCTTTCCCTCCCTCAATGGCACGGTCATCACCAAAGGGCCTGCTGCTTTCTCTTTGAACTTGCGGCCAGTGTCCCCCTTCAGCGAGGGGGTAGGGGGCCCAGGAGCACTGTGTGTCTCAGAGGCCCCGTGCCAGTGGGCGGGGGTGGGGAGAGTTGGGGAGTGAGGGCTGCCTTCCAGCCAGAGGTTTGACGCTGTCCTCGGTCTGTTCCAGGGGAGGTTCAGACGCAAGACCGAGATGAAAGCTGTGCCGCCGCCGAGGTGCTGACAGCGCCAGAGGATGCCGGGAGGCCGGCTGTCAACTCCCCGGCAGATGAGAGCCAGGGGCACCGACGCAAGCACTTTCATCCTTCATTACCCTCGTTACCTTCGGTGGAGGAAGAAGTAAACAGGCCTGGAAGGGAGACCATGAAACTGACAGAGGAGCAGGCAGCTGCAGAACCGGCGGGAGTCAGGGGGGAGAGTCCCGTGGAGGGACTGAGGGACGAGCCGGGGCCGCCCAGGTCTGGCCAGGACCCCTCCGCATCTAGTCGGGCAGCAGCCGAAGCGCCCACCCGGGAAGATGGGCAGGAGAGTGGAGGCCCAGGGAGCACCGTGAAAACATGAAGGGGAGCGGGACGTGGCATGAGGACACCCGGGCGGCACCGAGGACAGGAAAGGGTGCGCCGTCCGCACAGCTCGGCGAAGCCGCTTTCCCCTCAACACATCCAGGCGCGGCTCCTGTCGCAGACTGAGGCTGTCCTGATGCCCGCACAGTGTGATTCATTAAATGCGGGTCCTCACGCTTCTCGGTGTCATCTCTCTCTGCCGGGGATGCGCCGCTGTGAACGGGGCCAGGCGGAGTCGTGGCCGCCATATGGCTGGTGCTCGGCACCCGCCTTTCTGTCAGCGTTTGTTTCATTAGAGAGATGTTTTTTATTAGCGTTTCATGATGTCCATCAAAATGATGGGAGGGCTTCAACCCGGTGGGGTTTTTAATCAGATCTCCTTCCTTGTCACGGTGAGGTGGCTGGAGAGGAAGGTGTAATTGAGCGTAATGGGTCCGGAGGGCCCGCTGCTCCCCCGCATCCCAGCAGGCAGGGCCCCGCAGGACCTCCTGTCAGGGGTGTTCTTGGCATCCTGCCTGCCGCACGCTCTGTCCTGACACCCACCGGCAGGTGGAAGGGGCTTAAGCAGGCTCAGAAGGTGGGGCTTCGGGTCTGGAATCCACAGCCCCTGCCGAGACCTGTTTGCTGGCTGCTGGAGCCCCGTGTTCCAGCAGGTAATTCTGCAGGATAAATCGACTGGACTGATGGTGGGGTGAGACGGGAGGAGGGGCACTCCAGGGTTGTTTTTATTTTTTGTTTCTGAGGTGAGATGTGGGCCGGGACCTGGAAATGCTGCCTCTCTCATCCAACCTGTCTATGGCCGTGTGGGATTGGGGCAAGATATAGCTGCTTCGGGCCCATTCAGTTTCCTGCCCCACCCGGAACCTCAAACTCATCACTCCTCCAGCAGAAGGTGAAGGCTGCCTCCTCCGTGCCCCCAGGGACAGGGATTTTACAAACAAGACAGGGAGCTCGTGACCCTAGAGGGGAAAGAGAGAGGAAAACAACCCCATTTCATTCTGGTGAGGGGGCTGTGGAACCAAGTACTAGCTCCACATGTGGGGACAGGGGTGTGGTCAACCCCACCGGGTTCCTTCCTTGAGGATAAAATGAGCTGTTCTCAGCAGCATCTGGCCCTGCAGAAAACTGAAGGCTCATCCAACGATAGGACTTACTTTGAGCTGAACTCAGTTTCTTTTCCCAGGAAGACCTGATACCAGACTCCAAAGCTCAAAACACTGAGAACCAGAGTCACTGCTTCAGACAAAGAGAGGCTCCCGGGGTGGGAAAGGTTGAAAATTCACCCTAAAAACCGGATGATCACAATCCTGGGGTGAAACCTGCACGCATGTGCGTGGCCGGTCCACCCTGCCACTTCCCGGCCACATTTCATCTCCTGGCGCCGCTCTGTAGCAGCATAGGAGCCCGTGGGAATTCGTGCTGTCTCATTCCAAAGGGGCAAAGTGCAGACAAGAAGGCCCAGTCCTTTGTCATGTGCGTGATGGGGGAGCCTCCGGCAGCTTTCTATCCACTCACGGGAGGTCTCCCCTGCTGGTGGGATGGGGGCATGCCCGAGTCAGTGCACTGTGGCTCCTGGTGAGCTGGACACACCATCTGCCCCCATCTGCCAGGCTGGAGTGCCCCTTTCCCCCCCCCTCTGTGCTCCAGCCTCTTCCCCCTCCCCAGGTCCACCCCTCCGCTTCTTCTCCGGGGAGGCCATTTCCACAGCTGCAGAGCCCGCACAGCCCAGCAGCCACAGACATCATTTTCCTGCTGCACTTGGCCTTAATCGCCTGCAAATGTTCAGCCCTGCTGCATAGGACGCCAGAGTCACCAAAGGAAAACACAGGCAGATTTCGTACCATCCCAATCAAAGGGACAATGTCTCCCGCAGAAGCTCTGGTTGTGACACACGGTCAGCCAGGTGCACATCTTTAGGGCCCGTTGATGACATTCCAGAAAGCAAAGCTTATAGTGAACTCCCAACACAGTCCATCATGGGCAGGAAACTGCCGTGAGCCCCAGAAACTCTGGGGTTCAGGGCAGGGAGGTCATAGAGAGTGATCACCTAAACCCGCTGCAGGCAATCAGCCTAGAAAGACATTGTGTTATGAGATGGCATTAGAGCCAATGAGTCGATCCTGTTGTCGTGCCCCATACACACCTGTGACATAGTCCCACCCCTGCTATCCCAACCCAACATGGTTCTTGTGTTCCATAGCATTAAAGAGAGTTTCAGCCATTACTGATGGTTGCCTTTTGTCTTTTTAGGAGTCACTATGAAAGGGTGCAGCCTTCTCTGCCCTATTCCACCAGATAACCCTGCATCAGTCAGGGTCTCCTCATCTGTAATTCACACTTTTTGTTTAAGAAACTTAGCAACAGAAAAATGAATTATACTGCATAACAAGAACTTTAGAAACAGGGCCTTCCAGGTCTGGTTCAAGGATCTGGGTTCCCATCATCCTGCTTTGGCTGCCTCGGTGTCAGCTACTTCCTCACGCTCACAAGAAGGCTGCAACAGCTCCAGCCATCACCTCCTCTTCCAGCTGTGTTCAAAGGCAAAAGGAAGTTTCCCCTTGTGTGTGTGTGTGTGTGTGTGTGTGTGTGTGTGTGTGAGCAAAACGCTCAGTTCTTGTAGTATTTCATTGGTGAGAATTGTCACATGCCTATGTCTAAACCAATCCCTGGCAAGGGAGATGAAAGTATGTCCTGGGTTTAGGTTCACAAATTGGGGAGGGGCCCTGTTCCTGAACATGTAGACCCTACAAGGGTAAACACCAAAACAAAATCAGGTCTTGAGAAGCATAGGCGAGTTGAGAATAGATTTGAGTAGGAGGCCATCAACAGCAATGTCACTGAACCCCAGGTCTGGTTTTTTTAAAATTTGTTTCCCCTTAAAAAGCCAGAATATTATGTTACTGATGAGGGTGGCCTTGGGGGGAGGGTGGTGGTGGTTGTGTGTGTTTTGTTAGTTAAGAAGAATGCCATCTCCTCTCCCCTCTCTCCTGGCTTCTCTGTCATCCGTCCTATTTCGAAGCTGGAACGCTCCCACCTTTGTTTACCTCCTCAAGTGTGTCTGTCCTGCCATTATTTTTCCAGCCTGGTTGCCAGCAGAATGCAGAGCCGTCTGGGTAAATGAAACAGAGCTGACAGGTCTCTTAATGAAAGCGTGTTCGCACGGCCTGCATTTCTGGCGATCTCTCTGTACCCGGGAGCCTTTAGGTGAGGACTTTTACATATGAGTGTTTGTCGTTCTTTTAATTAAGGCCCACGGAAATGGATTGGTTTTTGCAAACCAGGCATTTCTCATCCCTAACGCCTCTCCCTTTCCAAGCCTCTCTGTCCCTCCCCCTCCCCCTTTCTTCTTGGCTGGCACAGCTATTCCCAAAGCCTCTCCACAGGGAGGCTCCTCATGGCCCTCAGCTCAACCCCTGCTGGAACTTCAGCCCAGTTGGCAACCTTAAATAAGCCAAATTCGTTTTCCCATCATTGTTTTTCTGCGCCCTCTCTCCCAAGCACACACCACCATCTCGTTGGGAAGTTCTAAAAAAGGGTTCTGGTATCTGTCATTCACGTGTTGGGGTGCATTTTCGGATGTGTTCTTCCTACTGGAGCATGGAGGATAGGTACCCCAATTCCCCATGGGAGTTTCAAAGACCAGCTACTTTCCTGTCTCTTTAAAATTACAGCATGACTTGGCTCCTCTTGGTTTTTTGTTCCTCCAAAAAAAAAAAAAGGCCCTTCCTCCTGGCTTGACCATTTTCCGGCAGCCCTGGGCCTGGCTTGGTACCCTACTTCTCTTTGAAAGAGGTCTCTCTCTGAGCATCTTCTCCCTCTGCTTTTATTCGGGAAGCCTCCTTAATAATATGGAGGGTACCTTAGGATGTCAAAAAGGCAGAGGAGTCCCCTTAACTCACTCGGCTAATATATTCCCTTTTTTCCAGATGTCTTTCTGAACAAAGAAAAATGTGAAGATCAGAGAGATGCAATAGAGAGCTCAGTAGTGAATCTAAATAGAAATGAGAAGCAGGAAGAATAAGAAGGACCCGTCCCTGGATATTATGATTGCTCACAAAAACAAAGCAAACCACATTGATACAGCATGAAGGCAATTTAAAATGATAGATATTGATGCGCTGCCTTACATTCTATATCACCTCTTTACTAAATGAGAGTGTTTTGGAATGCACAGTGAATGTTTGTATACCACTGACTAGTTTGACTTTCTGGAACCTAAGTGAGCCCAGGAATATACATTTTTGGGGATCTTAGCCAAGGCCAGTGGTAGCCTATTAAATTTAAAACAATTGGCTTTTTAAAAAAAGGCAAAACAGCTGCTATTTTGTAGTTTAATTTCAAAAAAAGAAGTAACTTCTATTCATTTATAGGCTTTGCTGTATTGGATTCTATGATCATCATGTGTCATGACTATCATTTTTGTTACCTGAAATAAATATGTGGTAATTTTCCTTATATAGATGTTTAATTATCTTTATTATTTGGGTCATTTCTCTCTCTCCACCCTCGCCGCAGGCCAAACATAGGCTGAGCGTTTCTTCATATTGTAGCAACTTAATCAGTTACAATCTATCACCTAAAATTATTAGCTCATATGCTCATCATGAAAATTAAGGAGAATGTAAAGATTTTATGCATTCAATCCAAAATGCCAGATCTAAAATCAGTTCATTTATTTCCTGCAATCTTTCAAGTTGATCCAAGTACTCACTGATTTGCTCTATTTTCTCACATTTTCAGTATAAAAAAAACCGCTCAAAAAAATTCACTGCAATTCTGAGAAAAAGCTTATCCTAAACATCTAAAGATAGCATTTCTAATTATTGTCTACATTGTGTTTAAACTGTGCAAACTTGAGCATTCTTCTCACTTTACCAGCTGTGTCTAGGTAGAGTCATGACATCAAATGCTTCTAATTTTACAAAAAGAAATCAAAACAAGTGTGTGTGTTGAAGTCTCGGTGACAAATTCGAATCCTGTGAGTCAAACAGGCAAGCTGATTAGCAAGCTGGCTGGGAAGTCAACACAGCAAATGTAAAGAGATTAACAAAATAGACCCGTAAGGGGAGAGGCTAGAAATAGCCTCCAGGGGCCAAGTGGGGGCCAAAGAACAGGTTTGGTGGCAGGTTCTGGGCCCAAAGCAAATGCCTGCCTTCCTGGCCCACCATCTGTCCCTCATCTCCGATCCCCTCCCCACAAGAGCTGGGATCCCAGAGTTTCTCTTCTAACAAACCTAAGAGGTGGCACCTTTTCCTTTACTTGAATCTTTCCCGTGGTGTGGCACTCAGTAGCTCACAAGGTAGTCCAATCCATGAGGAGTAGCTATTTTTCTGACCGTAGCCAGGGTTATTAATTAGACACTTAGTAGATCCTGAGGCTTCATGGGATGCTCTATAGCAGCGGTTCTCAACCTGTGGGTCGCCAATCTGTGGGTCGCGACCCCTTTGGGGGTCGAACGACCCTTTCACAGGGGTCGCCTAAGACCGTCGGAAAACACATATATAATTACATATTGTTTTTGTGATTAATCATTATGCTTTAATTATGTTCAATTTGTAACAATGAAAATACATCCTGCATATCAGATATTTACATTCTGATTCATAACAGTAGCAAAATTACAGTTATGAAGTAGCAACGAAAATAATTTTATGGTTGGGGGTCACCACAACATGAGGAACTGTATTAAAGGGTTGCGGCATTAGGAAGGTTGAGAACCACTGCTCTACAGCTTTCCTGAATAATACTTGATTTAATCCTCACAACAATCCAACAGGATAGTTTTATTTTACAGATGAGGAAAGCCCGGCCCAGAGAGGTGCAGTGACTTGCTCAGGTCACACAGCGTGTGAGTATGGCAGAGCCGGGGTTCCAAACAGGCTTTTCTAGCTGAACCCGAGCCATCAACCATCACACTCCATGCATTCCTTAGCCCTGGCAGGGGACTGTAATTTGCCCTTGGATCAGTTCCTCTCTGTTTCTTGGCTCTGGAGCCCCATGGAATAGTGTATCAATTCCATTCCCATTAATGGACAGAACAGAAAGGAGTAGGTCTGCTGGGGTCTCTCCTCTGTCTGAGGGGCTGAGGGTAGTGAAGAGAGAAACTAAGAACAGAAGGTGCTATGGTCTGAATGTGTCCCCCCAAAATAAATATGTTGAAATGCTAACCCTCAAAGATGATGGTAGGAGGTGGAGCCTTTGGGAGATGCCTAAATTATGAGAGAGATTAGTGCCTAAAGGCTTCCAGAGAGATCCCTTGCACCTTCCACCATGTGAGGATGCACCAAAAAAGCACTTGCTGTGAACCCCAAAAAAGTCTCTAACCTGGTCATGCTGGTGCCATGATCTTGGACCTCCAGCCTCCAGGAGTGTGAAAAATAAATTCCTGTTGTTTCTAAGTTACACGGTGGTGTGTGTGTGTGTGTGTGTGTGTGTGTGTGTGTGTGTGTGATAGCAGCCCAAACAGAGGAAGACAGAAGGTAAGTGGTGAAAAGCACCAGTCTCCTTCTGAAAAATAAACCCAAACCTCCTGGGTGATCCTGAATTAACCTATAATCTGGCAGCAGAGTCAAAGATGACGTGTCTGGCATTTTATCCCTCTGTAATTGCTGCCTGGTCAACTTTTAATTGTGGGGATAGGTGAGCCCATCTCTTTGAGATCAGGATATTTAAAGACGCGGTTTGCTCATCCCCTGTCAGTGCTGACCTGTAGAGTTCATGTTAAGGTTTCAAACCAGTGAGAACCAGTTGGGGGAGCAGAGTCACCAGACAAGAATAGCCTTTCTCCCCAATCGTCCCTTGGGTTCAAAGGAAGAACTTTCAATGACAAGTTAGTCCTGGTAAGAGGCAAAAATAACCACTGGGGATGGGTTTCTGGCTAAGGTTCAGTTTGACTCACTGTTTTAAGTGTCGGGGAGACATAGAAGCTGCCTCCAACTAACCAGGTGCAAACGCCGCGGCTGGGATGTGGGTCTACACCAGGAGGTTGGAAAGTTATTATGAGAACTTTTGTTCAGTAAATGAAGGCGGATACGCAAGACTGATCTAGTCTGCGTGTAGATTGTGATTTTCAAAAAGAGGCTGAAACTCCAAGTTTCGAATTAAAACCAGCCGCCTTCGGGCTCCATTGCTTCCAAGTGCTCTTGTGTGGAGAAGAGCATCATCCTATCATCCTGGTTGTGCAGAGGCCGACAATGCCGTCTGCCCAGCACAACCTCCTGTAACTTGCCCAGTGATGCCGCTTCACTGGCCCGACCTCAGCTGCCTGGGAAATGGACCTCATGCCGCACGGATTTCAACTCCAGTGTCGGAATCCCCGGCAGCCTATTGCAAACAGATTTCCTCCTCTCCGGTTGGGTTCCACCGCTCCGGGATGAAGCCCAGGAAATGGCATTTTCCTCTCTCACTTCCCACAACAAGACTTGCCGGCAGAATTGGGACGAGGGGAACAAGGAGGAGTCCTACAGGGGTTTTGGAAATATCTTTGCTACTTTCAAATAGTAACTGAGCCCGGGAGAGAAGCCTCAAACAAACAAAGTAACCGAGGCCCTGATGCAGTACTGAGCTGCTGCGTTTTTAATGTGCAACGTGAAGATTGCCAGACCCCCCAAAGGGTATCTCTCCGCAGGGTGGCGAGAAATAGCCGAAAGCTCCTTCCGGCAGGCAGCACGGCTGGCAGGGCCACGCATTGGTGGTGGGTGGGGAGGTGGGGACTCTAGGCAACCCCAGGACAGGCCTCAGAGAGCGTGGCAGAATCTAGGAGGTGGAGGAGTGGGGAGGGGGGGCGTGTCCTGAGGGCATAGAGGTATCTCAGGGCTCGTGGGGTGAGGGCAGGGGTGACAGGGTAGAAAAGGACCTCAGGAGTCTAGGAGGCCCTCAGGGTAGATGGAGTATATGGTAGATGGAGGGGCGTACCTCTGGGGGTTCTTAGAGCTCAGGGTGAGGGTGCTTCGAAGGGGGGGGCTACCCTCTGGATGGAGGGGGGTGACTCAGCATGCCTGGCTGGAATCTCAAGGTAGAGAGTGTCTCTGGAAAAAGAGGGAGAAAATCACGGTGGGGCAGGGTCTTGGGGCACATGGAGGGGATCTCGGGGAGCTGGGAGGGGTGTCAGGGCACCGGCACGGAGGGGCAGGCGGACAGGCGCGCTCAGGCCGCCTTGCTCTCCTGCCGCCGCT